TGTCCCACCCCTGACTACTGTCACCCAGCTGTCTTACTGTCCCACCCCTGCCTACTGTCACCCAGCTGTCTAACTGTCCCACCCCTGACTACTGTCACCCAGCTGTCTAACTGTCCCACCCCTGACTACTGTCACCCAGCTGTCTTACTGTCCCACCCCTGACTACTGTCACCCAGCTGTCTTACTGTCCCACCCCTGCCTACTGTCACCCAGCTGTCTAACTGTCCCACCCCTGACTACTGTCACCCAGCTGTCTAACTGTCCCACCCCTGACTACTGTCACCCAGCTGTCTTACTGTCCCACCCCTGACTACTGTCACCCAGCTGTCTAACTGTCCCACCCCTGACTACTGTCACCCAGCTGTCTAACTGTCCCACCCCTGCCTACTGTCACCCAGCTGTCTTACTGTCCCACCCCCTGACTCCTGTCACCCAGCTGTCTAACTGTCCCACCCCTGCCTACTGTCACCCAGCTGTCTTACTGTCCCACCCCTGACTACTGTCACCCAGCTGTCTTACTGTCCCACCCCCTGACTCCTGTCACCCAGCTGTCTAACTGTCCCACCCCTGCCTACTGTCACCCAGCTGTCTTACTGTCACCCAGCTGTCTTACTGTCCCACCCCTGCCTACTGTCACCCAGCTGTCTTACTGTCACCCAGCTGTCTTACTGTCCCACCCCTGCCTACTGTCACCCAGCTGTCTTACTGTCACCCAGCTGTCTTACTGTCCCACCCCTGACTGTCAACCAGCTGTCTAACTGTCCCACCCCTGCCTACTGTCACCCAGCTGTCTTACTGTCACCCAGCTGTCTTACTGTCCCACCCCTGCCTACTGTCACCCAGCTGTCTTACTGTCACCCAGCTGTCTTACTGTCCCACCCCTGCCTACTGTCACCCAGCTGTCTTACTGTCCCACCCCTGACTACTGTCACCCAGCTGTCTTACTGTCCCACCCCTGACTACTGTCCCACCCCTGCCTACTGTCACCCAGCTGTCTTACTGTCCCACCCCTGCCTACTGTCACCCAGCTGTCTAACTGTCCCACCCCTGACTACTGTCACCCAGCTGTCTTACTGTCACCCAGCTGTCTTACTGTCCCACCCCTGCCTACTGTCACCCAGCTGTCTAACTGTCCCACCCCTGACTACTGTCACCCAGCTGTCTTACTGTCACCCAGCTGTCTTACTGTCCCACCCCTGACTACTGTCACCCAGCTGTCTAACTGTCCCACCCCTGCCTACTGTCACCCAGCTGTCTTACTGTCACCCAGCTGTCTTACTGTCCCACCCCTGCCTACTGTCACCCAGCTGTCTAACTGTCCCACCCCTGACTACTGTCACCCAGCTGTCTAACTGTCCCACCCCTGACTACTGTCACCCAGCTGTCTTACTGTCCCACCCCTGACTACTGTCACCCAGCTGTCTTACTGTCCCACCCCTGACTACTGTCACCCAGCTGTCTTACTGTCCCACCCCTGACTACTGTCACCCAGCTGTCTTACTGTCCCGCCCCTGCCTACTGTCACCCAGCTGTCTTACTGTCCCACCCCTGACTACTGTCACCCAGCTGTCTTACTGTCCCGCCCCTGCCTACTGTCACCCAGCTGTCTTACTGTCCCACCCCTGACTACTGTCACCCAGCTGTCTTACTGTCCCGCCCCTGCCTACTGTCACCCAGCTGTCTAACTGTCCCACCCCTGACTACTGTCACCCAGCTGTCTTACTGTCCCACCCTGCCTACTGTCACCCAGCTGTCTTACTGTCCCGCCCCTGCCTACTGTCACCCAGCTGTCTTACTGTCCCGCCCCTGCCTACTGTCACCCAGTTGTCTAACTGTCCCACCCCTGCCTACTGTCACCCAGCTGTCTTACTGTCACCCAGCTGTCTTACTGTCCCACCCCTGACTACTGTCACCCAGCTGTCTTACTATCCCACCCCTGACTACTGTCACCCAGCTGTCTTACTGTCACCCAGCTGTCTTACTGTCCCACCCCTGACTACTGTCACCCAGCTGTCTTACTGTCCCACCCCTGACTACTGTCACCCAGCTGTCTTACTGTCCCACCCCTGACTACTGTCACCCAGCTGTCTTACTGTCCCGCCCCTGCCTACTGTCACCCAGCTGTCTTACTGTCCCACCCCTGACTACTGTCACCCAGCTGTCTTACTGTCCCACCCCTGACTACTGTCACCCAGCTGTCTTACTGTCACCCAGCTGTCTTACTGTCCCACCCCTGACTACTGTCACCCAGCTGTCTTACTGTCCCGCCCCTGCCTACTGTCACCCAGCTGTCTAACTGTCCCACCCCTGACTACTGTCACCCAGCTGTCTTACTGTCACCCAGCTGTCTTACTGTCCCACCCCTGACTACTGTCACCCAGCTGTCTTACTGTCCCACCCGACTACTGTCACCCAGCTGTCTTACTGTCCCACCCCTGACTACTGTCACCCAGCTGTCTTACTGTCCCGCCCCTGCCTACTGTCACCCAGCTGTCTTACTGTCCCACCCCTGACTACTGTCACCCAGCTGTCTTACTGTCACCCAGCTGTCTTACTGTCCCACCCCTGACTACTGTCACCCAGCTGTCTTACTGTCCCGCCCCTGCCTACTGTCACCCAGCTGTCTAACTGTCCCACCCCTGACTACTGTCACCCAGCTGTCTTACTGTCCCACCCCTGCCTACTGTCACCCAGCTGTCTTACTGTCCCGCCCCTGCCTACTGTCACCCAGCTGTCTTACTGTCCCGCCCCTGCCTACTGTCACCCAGCTGTCTTACTGTCCCGCCCCTGCCTACTGTCACCCAGCTGTCTTACTGTCCCACGCCTGCCACTGTCACCCAGCTGTCTAACTGTCCCACCCCTGCCTACTGTCACCCAGCTGTCTTACTGTCCCACGCCTGCCTACTGTCACCCAGCTGTCTAACTGTCCCACCCCTGCCTACTGTCACCCAGCTGTCTTACTGTCCCGCCCCTGACTACTGTCACCCAGCTGTCTTACTGTCCCACCCCTGACTACTGTCACCCAGCTGTCTAACTGTCCCACCCCTGCCTACTGTCACCCAGCTGTCTAACTGTCCCGCCCCTGCCTACTGTCACCCAGCTGTCTTACTGTCCCGCCCCTGCCTACTGTCACCCAGCTGTCTTACTGTCACCCAGCTGTCTTACTGTCCCACCCCTGACTACTGTCACCCAGCTGTCTTACTGTCCCACCCCTGACTACTGTCACCCAGCTGTCTTACTGTCCCTCCCCTGCCTACTGTCACCCAGCTGTCTTACTGTCCCACCCCTGACTACTGTCACCCAGCTGTCTAACTGTCCCACCCCTGACTACTGTCACCCAGCTGTCTAACTGTCCCACCTCTGACTACTGTCACCCAGCTGTCTTACTGTCCCGCCCCTGACTACTGTCACCCAGCTGTCTTACTGTCCCGCCCCTGCCTACTGTCACCCAGCTGTCTAACTGTCCCACCCCTGACTACTGTCACCCAGCTGTCTTACTGTCCCGCCCCTGCCTACTGTCACCCAGCTGTCTTACTGTCCCACCCCTGACTACTGTCACCCAGCTGTCTTACTGTCCCGCCCCTGCCTACTGTCACCCAGCTGTCTTACTGTCCCACCCCTGACTACTGTCACCCAGCTGTCTAACTGTCCCACCCCTGACTACTGTCACCCAGCTGTCTTACTGTCCCGCCCCTGCCTACTGTCACCCAGCTGTCTTACTGTCACCCAGCTGTCTTACTGTCCCACCCCTGACTACTGTCACCCAGCTGTCTTACTGTCCCACCCCTGCCTACTGTCACCCAGCTGTCTTACTGTCCCACCCCTGACTACTGTCACCCAGCTGTCTTACTGTCCCGCCCCTGCCTACTGTCACCCAGCTGTCTTACTGTCCCACCCCTGACTACTGTCACCCAGCTGTCTAACTGTCCCACCCCTGACTACTGTCACCCAGCTGTCTTACTGTCCCGCCTCTGACTACTGTCACCCAGCTGTCTTACTGTCCCGCCCCTGCCTACTGTCACCCAGCTGTCTAACTGTCCCACCCCTGCCTACTGTCACCCAGCTGTCTTACTGTCCCGCCCCTGCCTACTGTCACCCAGCTGTCTAACTGTCCCACCCCTGACTACTGTCACCCAGCTGTCTAACTGTCCCACCCCTGCCTACTGTCACCCAGCTGTCTAACTGTCCCACGCCGTGAGTGAAGCAGATACTCTCCCAGGCTCACCCACCATGGGGGGTGGGGGTTGTACCTAGCGGGGCTCAACGTCCCAATGACCCGGTCTCCAACTAGGCCTCATCGTCCCTGGACTGGTCAACCAGACTGTTGGATGCGGCTGCTCGCATCCTGACGGTTAAGCCCCTTATGTGTAGTGGAAGCGTGTTGAACAGTCTCGGGCCTCTGATGTTGATAGTTCTCTCTCAGAGTACCTGTTGCACCTCTGCTCTTCAACGGGGGTATTCTGCACATCCTGCCATGCCTCCTGGTCTCATGTGGTATTTCTGTGTGCAGGTTTGGGACCAGCACCAGTGTCTGAAGCAGTCACTCTCCCAGGCATACTTGGAGCATACTTGGAGCATACCTGGAGAGGTTTTTAGGATTTCTTTTACTCCTCGAGCTCGGCCTGAAGCCAGGCCCAACTTGTGATAACTTGGTTCAACAGGCTGTTGCTTGGAGCGGCCCGCAGGCCCACATATCCACTACAACCTGGTTAGCCTTTGTCCTAGCAATATTTCTAATGCTTGTTGGGAGGGTGTTGGACACCCGCGGACCTGTGATGTTCACACAATGTTCTCTGACTGTGCCTATGGCACCTCTACTCTTCACTGATTCTATTTTGTGTTTCCTTCCGTATCTTTCGTTCCAGTATGTTGCTACTCTACTGTGCGAATTTGGGACCTGGCTTTCAAACATCATCCATGTATATATTATTGATACCTTTTTCGTAAGATACAGAGGGGGGGGGGAATGTATTAGATAATATACAGAGTAATATACTCACATAGTCGTGGAAGGCCTTAGCCTCGCTGGAGTGTTCGCAGGTGTCTCTCCTCTCCGGCGCCGCACAGTACAGGTCCCAGAACACGCTGTGGACACAACAACACTCACTTAGTACACAGTACAGGTCCCAGAACACGCTGTGGACACAATAACACTCACTTAGTACACAGTACAGGTCCCAGAACACACTGGACACAACAACACTCACTTAGTACACAGTACAGGTCCCAGAACACACTGGACACAACAACACTCACTTAGTACACAGTACAGGTCCCAGAACACACTGTGGACACAACAACACTCACTTAGTACACAGTACAGGTCCCAGAACACACTGGACACAACAACACTCACTTAGTACACAGTACAGGTCCCAGAACACACTGTGGACACAACAACACTCACTTAGTACACAGTACAGGTCCCAGAACACACTGGACACAACAACACTCACTTAGTACACAGTACAGGTCCCAGAACACACTGTGGACACAACAACACTCACTTAGTACACAGTACAGGTCCCAGAACACACTGGACACAACAACACTCACTTAGTACACAGTACAGGTCCCAGAACACACTGTGGACACAATAACACTCACTTAGTACACAGTACAGGTCCCAGAACACGCTGTGGACACAATAACACTCACTTAGTACACAGTACAGGTCCCAGAACACGCTGTGGACACAACAACACTCACTTAGTACACAGTACAGGTCCCAGAACACACTGTGGACACAATAACACTCACTTAGTACACAGTACAGGTCCCAGAACACGCTGTGGACACAATAACACTCACTTAGTACACAGTACAGGTCCCAGAACACACTGTGGACACAACAACACTCACTTAGTACACAGTACAGGTCCCAGAACACACTGTGGACACAACAACACTCACTTAGTACACAGTACAGGTCCCAGAACACGCTGTGGACACAATAACACTCACTTAGTACACAGTACAGGTCCCAGAACACGCTGTAGACACAACAACACTCACTTAGTACACAGTACAGGTCCCAGAACACACTGTGGACACAATAACACTCACTTAGTACACAGTACAGGTCCCAGAACACGCTGTGGACACAATAGCACTCACTTAGTACACAGTACAGGTCCCAGAACACGCTGTAGACACAACAACACTCACTTAGTACACAGTACAGGTCCCAGAACACACTGTGGACACAATAACACTCACTTAGTACACAGTACAGGTCCCAGAACACGCTGTGGACACAATAGCACTCACTTAGTACACAGTACAGGTCCCAGAACACGCTGTAGACACAACAACACTCACTTAGTACACCACCCCCTGTTGGCGGGTTCTCTGGCAGGTTGTATAAGGCACTTTAGTACCTTATCCAGTTTATTAGTACATCAGTCTAGTAACGTTGTGTGCGTTCGAGAGGGCGAGCTGATAGGTCAGGGCAACAGAAAATAACATGATGCTTAACGATTACAAGTTTCAGGCACTTGGGTATGGCGGAAACGAGTAACAACGAAACACAGGGTACAGGACACAATCAGATCTACTCATAGAAGGAAAGCCATATGTGAAAGATCTGAGAATTATAATGTCTAACGACCTGACATTAGGTGAACATAACCGAGCAAATATAGCGGCGGCGGCCAGGAAAATAATAGGATGGTTTATGAGAACGTTCACATCCAGAGACCCCACAACAATGCTAATACTAATCACTGGTGCTGTCCCGTCTTGAGTATTGCTCGGTACTCACTTCCCCTTTCAGAGCGGGAGAGATCTCTGAATTAGAGGGAATACAGAGAACATATACGGCACGCATAGACACGATGAAACATCTACATTATTTGGACCATCTCAAAGCTCTCAAAATGTACTCTTTGGAAAGGAGACGAGAGATAATATATACGTGGAAGATACTTGAAGACCAGGTCCCAAATTTGCCCAGTAGATTATACGGGAACGAAAGATACGGAAGGAAATACAGAATAGAACCAGTGTTAAGAGTAGAGGCGCCATAGACACGATCAGAGAACACTAAACAACATAGGTCCACAGCTGTTCAACACCCTCCCAGCAAGCATTAAAAATATTTCTGAACCGAAGGTTTATTTACGTTCCTACAAGACGTGCCAGATCAACTGGGTTGTAGTGGATATGTGAGCCTGCGGGCCGCTCCATGCAATAGTCTGTTGAACCAAGTTATCACAAGTCGAGCCTGGCTTCAGGCCGAGCTCGGGGAGAAGAAGGACTCCCAGAACCCTGCTTGATGGGGTTCTGGGAGTTCTTTTACTCCCCAATCCCGGCCTTGACTTGTGAGAGCTTGGTCCACCAGGCTGTTGCTTGGAGCGGCCCGCAGACTCACGTATCCACCACAGCCCGGTTGGTCCGGCACTTTTTGAAGACAACAATCCACTTTTCTCTTGAAGATGTCCACGGTTGTTCCGGCAATATTTCTTATGCTTGCTGGGAGGACGTTGAACAACCGCGGACCTCTGATGTTTATACAGTGTTCTCTGATTGTGCCTATGGCACCTCTGCTCTTGTAATTTGAAAATAAAAAAAAATGAAAATTTGGGATTTTTTTTTTCAACAACAGTAAGTTAAGGGTCCTCTGATAGGTTAGGTGGGCAGGAAATTCTCATAAAGTTTCAAACCGTTATGAAAAACGTTAATGGAAAGAATCCTTTTCTTAGCTTGCCGAGTAAGCCGGACGACTCACAACAGAAAACGGAACAGTACGTCACTTTTTTGAGTCGATTTCATTTCAAATTACGTCCAAATTTGGCCATAGTGCGCATACGAGCGAAAAGTGACGTTATTTTTAAGAGGACGGGTTGGCGTCACACCCATCCGTCACACCCCACCGTCACACCCCACGACGTCACACCCCACGACGTCACACCCCACGACGTCACACCCCACGACGTCACACCCCACGACGTCACACCCCACGACGTCACATCCCACGACGTCACACCCCACGACGTCACACCCCACGACGTCACACCCCACGACGTCACACCCCACGACGTCACACCCCACGACGTCACACCCCACGACGTCATACCCCACGACGTCACACCCCACGACGTCACACTCCACGACGCCACACCCCACGACGTCACACTCAGGTTAGTCCGTACAGTGTGTGAAGGAGTGAGGAAGGTGAGGGTGAGCGCCTGTGGGCCAGGGGACTGTGGTGTCAATCTACAACATTGTAGACTTAGAGGATAAGCTGGCGGGATCCTGGCTGGTAGAGATAACACGCCACTGGGAAAGTAACACAAACATGAAGCCCATACCAGGATTACCGGATAGCAAGACCTCGTTAACCATGAGACACGAACACCACAACAACCTAGACGAACGCGCGGGTTCTCTAAGGGTGCACAATACTCCACACTCACTAGTCACGTAAGGCTGGCGATAAACATGCAACATGTACACACAACATTACGGCTTCACCGTAATCATATTATGTTGAAGGAATAAAATCCTTGAGAGTATATTATCTGGAATACAGAGAGACCATGACCATGTCCTCACCTGGCAACGAGCCATGGCAACACGTGCCCAGTGACCGTGTCCTCACCTGGCAACGAGCCATGCCAACACGTGCCCAGTGACCGTGTCCTCACCTGGCAACGAGCCATGGCAACACGTGCCCAGTGACCGTGTCCTCACCTGGCAACGAACCATGGCAACACGTGCCCAGTGACCGTGTCCTCACCTGGCAACGAACCATGGCAACACGTGCCCAGTGACCATGTCCTCACCGTGTGCCTCGCGAGGCGAGTTTATGGGGCAGCGCTACTCGTCATGTGAGTGGACGCCAGGTGCTTCCCGGGCTTAGCGTCCCCGCGGCCCGGTCGGCCCGGTCGTCGACCAGGCCTCCTGGTTGCTGGACTGGTCAACCGGGCTGTTGGACGCGGCTGCTCGCAGCCTGACGTACGAATCACAGCCTGGTTGATCAAGTATCCTTTCGAGGTGTTTATTAAGTTCTCTCTTGAGCACTGTGAGGGGTCGGCCAATAGTCTATGTCTCTTGCTTCAAATACGTTGGTGTCTTTGTCCCTTGTACCTCAACTGCTGTCAATAAGTTACATCAACAGTGTAGAGACAGGCTCAAGGCTCTCAGAACTGTAGTGGGGTACAGCCCTAAGTACGGTGTTACTGTGTAGTGGCAGCGTGTTGAACAGTCTCGGGCCTCTGATGTTGATAGTTCTCTCTCAGAGTACCTGTTGCGCCTCTGCTCTTCAACGGGGGTATTTTTTTCGGTAGCGCATGAGCTAGAACTTATCTTCGTTAAACACCATATTATTTTCTGTAGCCCATAGAAAGACCTGATTTATATCTGATTGAAGGTTTGCCGTGTCCTCTATGTTGACACTAGGATTTTTATGAGTAGACATCTGCAAAGGATGATACAGTACTATAGACTGTCCTTGTCTATGTCCGATATGAGGATGAGAAAAAGTACTGGAGCAAGCACAGTACCCTGGGGGACTGTACTGGAGCAAGCACAGTACCCTGGGGGACTGTACTGGAGCAAGCACAGTACCCTGGGGGACTGTACTGGAGCAAGCACAGTACCCTGGGGGACTGTACTGGAGCAAGCACAGTACCCTGGGGGACTGAGCTCTTCACGGTTGATGGTCCGGATTATATTTTATTGCCTATTACACATTAGTCAGGAAATTGTAGATCCATCTGCTTATTTTTCCGGTACAGTAATTCCTTTTGAACACATTCTGTGTACAATAACACCATGGTCACATTTATCAAAAGCTTTTGCGAAATTTGTGTAAATTAAATCAGCGTTTTGTTTGTGTTCCATGGCATCTAATGCCATGTCATAGTGGTCCAGCAACTGTGACAGGCAAGAGCACCCTGTTCTGAAGCCATCTTGTCCGGGGTTATGGAGATGCTGTGATTCCATGTGTTTTGTGATCTTACTTCTTAGCACTCTTTCAAAGATTTTTATGATGTGCGATGTTAGTGCTATCGGTCTGTAATTTTTTTGCCTCTGCCATATTTCCTCCTTTATGGAGTGGTGCTATCTCTGCTGTTTTCAGT